ATAATTTATGTAATTAAATATTACACAATATGCACCTGATGTTACTGTAAATATATAGTTTTATTGTTTTATTAAAACTGTCTGGTATGATAATAGATAGATAGATAGATAGATATGTTATGCTGTAATAGATAGGTAAGTTATGCTGTAATCTAAAACATACACACATATAATAGAATATAAATCGGGTTTCCGGATTTTGTGAAAATAGGATATTAATTTTTTCAACAGAACTATCATAATTGATAGTTTTTACATTCCCAATATGCAATAAAAACTTGCAAAGATAAATCTATGAGCATCTTGCTGAAAAATAATCGACTTGATTTGATGGAATGGGTTAGAGTGGACTAAAATTTCAAAAACACGCCTTTATTTGAATTTCGTAATGTTTTAATATTGTTTGCTTCATGCGTATTTTAATGAAAATAAAAATTAACGATTGCAATTTTATACCAGATATGAAGAATGTCACAACATGAAATAATACTTATAATACAATTTCTATAAGCTAAAATATCTTGAAAATACGAATTATGATCAAGATTTTAGAAAATACAGTGTAGCAACAGAATTGAAAAAAAAGGTTTTCATTAATAAATATAAATGTATAACTAAAGAGGTGCATGGCATCGTGTCTTAAGACAAATTGCTGGAACTTCCCGTACCGTAATTAAAAATCTTGATACGAACCCAAAAAAAAATTACACAAAATGTGTACACATTATTTAAATCTCTATAAAATATCTGATAATTTGATGTACATATGTCCAATAAACATTTTTGGCCGACAAATGACATTTTCTTAAATTCTTTTTATTGAGGGTCCAAAACTGCTGGACCTGCCTTCTCAAAAATTTAATCAATCTTGTCAATACAAGTAAATGTTGTTTGAATTATTAAAATCGGACGCTCCGTTCTCTCAAAAACTGAGTCACCGTTTATGACACTTCTTGCCCCGTATCTTCGGAACGGCTAGACCTGCCTTCGCTAAAAACAAATCAGCACGTTTCTTTATCAATACAAATCGAATGTTTTTTGAAAAATTCAAATCGATTGATCGGTGTTCACAAAATCGTCGACGAAATTTTGTATCCGCACACATACACACATACATCAATTTTTTATAAGGAAATATTCAGAAATCTTTGAAATGTAAAGATGTATAAAAATTTTCATTTCCGATTTTTTTGCGATTATTATAACTTTCCCTACGGGAAGTAAATAAAAATAATTATTAACAGTATTCCTCTAAAAAGATTGCATTAAAAAATGAGTGTTATTATTAATGGAAAATTTAATCAAATAGGGTTTTGTTTAGAGTACGAAAAGTTACGGCAATTTGCTTAAACTTTAAAAGCAAATATTATTTTACATGTATCTCTTTTTAGCAAATAATGGAACCATGGAAGTATATTTAAACTCAAGGGGTGGATCAGCTACCAGATGTCGCTTGAATCATATAAATTCACCCTATGTTAGCGGCTTGCGTACATCACCCCAAGCTAGATGGCGTCATGGGTCACCCCATCATCATCACCCATCGACATCGACACCATCTCGTCGTCATCTGATGGCTGATATCAGGCGGAAACGATTTCGCGAAGGACGATCGATGTATGATAAAATCTTATACTTAAGATACTACATTGACATTGCATATATTGTTTTTAATATTATTCCAGGGAATCATCTCATAAGAGTTTCGATCGAGAGATGTCCCTCCGATCGACCGTTACTCAATCCTCATGGTGTCCACATATTGTCTGTAGCGCAAATGGAGAAGTCACGTGTGCTGGTGATATTACCATAAATAACGTCACCATCAACAATATCACCACTTGCAGTGGAATGGATCCGAGTGCATCAGGGTGTAATTTACCAACATTTTCTACTGCCACGACGCATAATGGAAAAACGTGCGTTTGCGAGATTAAAAAGAATGCAAATTATCACAAAAACATATCAAAAAGTAATAGCGACTCCATAACTAACGCTTGCCAGAAAAATAACGTAACAAAAAATCTGCAATGCAAAAGCGAGTCTTTAAATTGTCGACATAGTGACATGTCTAGTAACAGTATTTCTGATATATGTAGCGAGATAATAAAAAATGACTTGACATCATCCTGTCGCATTTCCAAAAACGAAGATGATGATACATCAAGTTGTATGCATAAAGCTAAATACAACATAAATGATGTGTCTTGTTATCTCCATAATGATATATCCAGAAACGAATTAAGCAATTGTCCCCACAAAAAAATGATAATAAAAAATAATACAAATACAAAACATTCTACTAAAAGCGGTCTGTTGAGCTGTTGCCATCGTGAGGTAACCAAAAGTAGCGATTGCGTAACCAATTGTTGTTGCTGTCAAGGAAGACAGTTCGAATGTTGTCGATGTGATGATATTGTTACAAGAGCTAATATATCCAGGGGTTTAACAAATTACCACGAAGATGACGAAATTGGAAGTCGTCTAAATGATATAACATTGAACGAAATGACTTCTGCTGCAAATAAAATAAATAGAAAAATTAGAAAGAAAACTATGAAGTTGGAAAAATTAAAGGACAAACAGTGGTCTAGAGATTCCAACACGGCTATTAACTTAGTCAGCGAGAATTGGAAAAATCAAAGTCCTGGATTGAGAAGGTTTGTATTACTAGCAATTGTTTATTAAATAATACCTAATGCCTAAAAATTGAGAACTATTTATTAATAAAAAAATATTATTATTTAATAATAAATAATAATAATAAAATTCAAAATTAATGTTTCAAAAATAGGTAAGTAATCTTTTGACCGTATGAATAAGGAGTTTTACTCTTCAAGCATACCGAAGCTTGTGCATATATGATTTTAAGTTTTTGTTATTTTATTGATTTTTGTAATAAATAAACTATTCGAATGTATATAGATTTTTGCACAAAAGTTATATGAAACTTCACAATGTTTAATTCAAATAAAGTAAATCAATTTTAATTTCTATTTCACAGAACAAACGCTGAGAAATCATTACTTTCTAAAAAACGAGTCATTCAAATGCTCGGAGTGGTCGTCATGGAATTCTTTATCTGTTGGACACCTCTATATGTGATCAACACTTTGGCTCTTTTTTATCCAGAAATAGTTTATAAAAGTCTCGGATACTCTCTTATAACTTACTGTCAGCTTTTAGCCTACGTAAGCGCCTGCTGCAACCCAATAACTTACTGCTTCATGAATCGTAGATTCCGAGAAGCATTTTTGAGATTATTGGGAAAAAATTGTAAATGTTGCTGTATTGATAAAAATACACAAGGTTCTCGAAAAAGTATACAAAGAAAATCGAGTTTAGAAAGCGCTTTGAAACGTAATGAGAGAGATCAAATAAGAAGAAAGACTTGGTTGACAGAATGTAGATCTGCATCAGAGTTACATTAAAGTTATATCATTATGATTTTTGTTTGATTTTTTTTAATTCAGAAATCCGTATCGTTTTATAGTAAAATAAGCGACTCGTGTTGTGATTTCCTTGATAATCAAAATTTAGTGTAGGAGTTGCCAGAATTTGATAATAAAACTAGTTGAAAGTGGCATTGAGCCTAAAGGCAAGGTGCAAGAATTAACTTAATTAATCGAAATTGAAATTTAGATATTTAGATAAAATTTTCAACAGTTTATTTCTCTTGCGATTTCGAATAAAATTTTCTCAAACACATTTAAATTAACTGTAATATAATAACACAGACTCGTGCTTTTATGTCACAAAATTGTAGCTAATTATTTTAAATTTTAATGAGTTTATAATGTTTGACTCATCACATGACAAAAGCAACTTTTGATACAAATTTTAACATCAACTATTTGTCATAGAGACATAACATTTCAGTATGCTTTATAAGACCATGATATCTATAGCCAAAAAAAAGGTTCATAAAAATAGACATTTTTTTTTCAACGGTTAATTTCAAAAAAACGGCACGGTAGATTTTTACCTAAAACTAATCAGTATCATTCCCAACCAATATCTTTTGAAAAGTTTTTGCTTTTTTTTAAATCGATTCCAAATTGAGAGCTAAAACGTGAAATATTTTTTTTTCACTTTTCTGATATTTACAAAGAAACGGCATATCCGATCGTCGCACAAAACTAAGAAAAGATAATTCACATCTAAATATGTCGATTGGCTTTTAAATTTTTTAAATCGGTCCAGCCATTTTCGAGAAAACGGCGATTTACGGCAAAAAATCTGTTCACACACACATACTTTCTCAAAATTTGGTCTCATTCGATTCGGAATTGCTTAAAACGTCGAGAAAACATCAAATTAGCGAATCGGATTTTTTGATGAAAACAAACTTCTCCTTTGGTGAGTTAGAAATCAAAAAGTATGACGAAAAAATTTAATAGGAAAATAACTGTAAGAATGGCATAATAACTAAAAATATCTAGTAATATCGTGATTTTAAATCACACTGTATCTTACTGTTTCGTATACAATTTTATGTGATATTTATTGTATAAAACCTATATTGCAAAACAATAGTATAAGAAGTATTGAAACTTGATGTAATAATAAAATTATTAATGTAAATTAGCAAAATGTCTGCAAAATTTGGTTATTTTATAAACTTCTTAGTGAAATAATATCAGTAAACTGTATTGTATGCAATATTATAGTAAAATGTCTATAAACGTGTCGACGTGATAGGTATTCAACATATTAACGTAAAAGGGATTCATTTTTAATGTTTCCATATATTATTATATATTCAAAATAAATTGTTCGGATAATAAATAATTTATGCTCCTATGTCCTATATATAGTTGTGTATAAATATTGTGTAGACATGATATATGTATGCGTGTACTTAAATATTGTATATATTTCAAATTTAATTTTAAGGCATCTTGAATATATTAGTAAAACAAACATCTATATTATATATATATATATATATATATATATATATATATATATATAAATAATACTAGAGAAAACAAACTTACAATTTTACTTGTGTTGCTCAGGTATCTTCATTCATATCCAATAAATTATTTGTCATATTTCTGAAAAATATACAAATAATATAAAAATCAAAAGAAAATAAAAGTGTGAAAAAATAGTTCAACAAAAATAAAAATTAATCAAACTTAAACTTATAAAATTAACTTAAAATATAATTGAAGTGTTTTTCTTCTACTTTTACTAACACACTTAAGACGTTTATTCATACTTGGGAGAATTATAATGAATTCATTTTATATATTTGAAATAATAAAAGATAATTCTATGTTGAATTTCTAATTCAATTACAATCACGATGCAAAAATATTATATATAATATTGGTAAAAGTTTAGATAATTAATCAAATTATATTTAAATCATTTACGAAAGTATTATTCGATGTAAGTTTTGTATTTGTATTAAAAAATAAATAATTTTTGTCAGTTTTGTTTATTATTTCATACAAGCTAAAAAGTTTAGTTGCATTACTTGCGATATGGGATGATACCAAAAATATGAAATAATATTCATATTTATTGTGAAACATTTTATGTGAAATATCTATTATAAATATTACATTCAGTCTACTATGATATTTTAAATTGAGGTACATCTTTGAGCATTTATACTATCGATAACATATCTCCAAATTAATGTTATATAATAATTAATTAAACTTAACAAACATATGGTAATACTATATATATTAGTAAATACTTAAAATTAATTTATTAAAAAATTGACAGTAATACATTTCTTTTTAATATCAAATCTATCAGTAAATATATATATATATATATATATATATATATATATATATATATAACAAATGTATTCTGAGTGGATAGATAAATATTAATTTAGAAATATGAACAAACAACACTTTTTTTGCACTAATTTATTTAATAATAATTTCACAAACGTTTCGAGACTAGGTTTGTCTCATCATCAGCGTGTTATAAATTTAAAATCTAAACTGTGGAAACCTATATAAGCATTATGTGTTATCAGTTACACATAGTTCACTGTTCTGAACTGAATTCTCTATCAAGGATAAAAAGATGAGTCATGGAATATCAAGAGGTGCAAAAAAAGAGTGTTATTTGTTCATATTTCTAAATTAATATATATATATATATATATATATATATATATATATTAGGGTGGTCCTTAATATGGACATTTTCAATATTCCTTGCTACCAAGGGCACAAATGGTTCCAAATTGATAAAAAACAATTCCCTGGAAGTTTTAGCTCTTAATATTAAATTTTAGATAGTGCGCAATTTATTCAAACTTTGTATGAAAATAGCATGGAAAAAATTTGAAATTTGAAAAAAATATTTTGTTAGGTATAACTTAGCGACAAATTTTGAATAAAACTCATTCATTTGTTCGCTAAATTATATCTAAAAATTTTTTTAAAGCTTTTGAAAATTTTTTCATGCTATTTCTATACAAAACTTTGAACAAATTGCGCTCTATTTAAAAAACAATATTAAGAGCTAAAACTTTAAGAGAATAGTTTTTTACCAATTTGGAACCATTTGAGCCCTTGGGAGCAAGGAATTTCGAAAATGTCCATATTAAGGACATCCTTAATATATATATATATATATATATATATATATATATAACGTATCTCTTGCTAGTGATATATAATTGAAAAATTGAATATAAAAAAATACCATTTCGAGATGTGTTTGGAAACCTTTGGATTAGAAAAAGTTGTAATTAATCTACGAACATTTTTGGGAGGAAGTAAGAATCAGCGTTGTTGATTGTGATTTGGCACATAAATTTTAACAGCTTTATTACAATCAATAAAGACTAAAGCAACAACTTTTATATATAGAATATTTTTATATAGTTTTTAATGTAGGGCTAAACCACACCAAGAATGTCTATACCAAAAAATACATTCAATTTCAATTTTCTAGAAAAATATGTGCTTACCATTCAACTTTAATTTGAAATTTAACATATCAAAGTTACGACTAAAATTTATCTCATTGATATAAAATTACATGTATTGAGCCGAGAAGTATTGAATTAACATTTTTTTAGTACACGAGAAACCGATATACTTATTAGTATATTAATTTCATAAAGTTGAAAACCTTTATAAACATGCAACATAAAACGTAGACATAAAATTACATAAGTTACAAAATATATAAATGTAATATTAGTAATTGAAATTTTTAACAAACAACGTTAGTTTATTATGTATAGTGAAAAAAGCAGGAGTTAAAAACTTCTTAAGTGTAATATTTGTATCTTGGTTTTCCTGGAAAAACATCAATATAGTACTTTCCAAATATATTACAAATATATGCTACTTTTATTAAAAACACAAATATTATTTAACGTGTTAATTGCCAAAGCTATGACTTAAAAATTATGCCATTGCTTAATAATTCAAATTATTTGCTTTAAAAGTTATCTAGCTTAATTTTTTTGACTATGCAACCATATTCAATACATTATTTCTAAACTACCATTATCATTATAAAATACAATTTCTTTTTATTTCAAAATAAATATCTGTACTATGATGATAGCTTACAGGATAATTTGCCAGGATTTGTTATCTTTATTATATTATTGAATTTTTTTAGCAATAATTTTACGCACTAATTGATTAGATGAATGTATTTGTATGGGCGGTTAAGCTCTTAATACACTTTTAATCCGAATAACAGATTTGGAATCATTTTTAACTAAATTACTATTATTAACATTTAATTTAAAATCTTAGTAACAATTCACACACAACCAGTAGCTGTACATATATACAAAGATTCGATAACTATTTGTACAAGTATATATTTATACAACTTTCAATAAAATTATTCATAAATAATTTTTATCTAATATAATACATTTTGTACTGTAGTGTCACCGGTCATTAACCACCACAACCACTTATGAAACCAAATTAAGGGGGCGATTCTGCAGTAAAATCGGCCAATTTTATGAAAAGGCTATGTTATATGCTTTGCATATAAAACGGTACTAAAACCTGTCGAAATGTATTTGCTGTCAGTCAGACGTTGTGTGTTTTCTAGGTAAGGTTGTATATATAAAACGCCTAACAGCGCAGCAAATATATACCGTTTTGTCAGTTTTTAGTACCACTTTGTATGAAAAACGCTGAGTAACATAGCCTTGCTATATTTTACGGCAGAATCGGCCATTTATTAAAAATAAACTAAAAATGTAAAATAAAAAACTTACTTATAAAATGAGAAATCTGTTTTGTCGGCAGTGTTCGATAATATTTGCATCAAAATTTTCATAATAATCAACTTCACTATTTACATCATTATCGGCATCAAAATTCTTAACGTTTTCGCCCATCCATGTTATTTGCAACCGGAACGGGCCGTCATCTGATCGCCGCTCGACGTCCTAAAATCACAAAGAAAATAACAAATCATTAAATTGAAATATATGGATTTGTTTAAAATAAAACATTCTAAATCAATTACTACTTCTTTATCTTATGAATGGAGTTTCAAGGGAAATCCGTTATTTTCTATTACATTTTAATCAAAGTTATCTACTGTTGATAGATGTTTAATTAACAGTTGTAACAAGAATTGAAATTAGAAGAAAAAACACTAATTCTACTAAATTACTACTTTAAAAAAAAAATTAAAATACTCGCTCGAAGGGGTATTTCAATTCTACAGACATAGAACGATAAAACGACAAGTCATCTAATGATTTTTGTGAAGTTGCTTGTTGAGCAAATTATATCTCTAGAAACTGATTGGTATTTAACTCAAATGTTAGTATTTCTAATTATATCCCGTAGGATAAGTTATTGTACTCGTCCAAAAATCGAAATTGAAATTTTTACATTTCTTCACGCTTTGAACGTTTCTGAACATTTTGGCATACCTCAAAAAAAATGACGTGTTTGTATGTGAGTGTGTGTGTGTTTGTGTATGTATGTATGGATACAATTTTTCGTCCACGTTTTCGGGCGTACGGGTCAACCAATTTCGATGGTTCAAAAAACATTCGATTTCTATTGATGGGTAGATGTGCTCATTAGTTTTTGGCAAAGGCAGGTATAGCCGTTGAGGAGATACAGACCAAAGAGTGCAAAAAATAGATATGAAGGTTTAGAGAGAACGGAGTTTTTGGCAAAGGCAAGTCTAGCTGTTTCGAAGATACCAAGCTAAATGTGCAAAAAATGGCAGTTTTTGAGAGAACTAAGCATCCGATTGGAATTTTTCAAAAAACTTTTTTTTGCGTGTATTGACGAAACGATTGCTTTTGGGAAAAAATTGTTCATTTTTTTTCTAAGTTTCCAATTTTTTTTATTTTATTCATTTATTTATTTTTTTGAATATCGAAGGTAATTTGATTTTAATTTGAGTTCTGGCTAAAGTTCTAAAACTCACTTATATACTTGAAATAAATAATTTTAACTTTGTAATTCAGTTTATATAACTCTTATAAATATTAGACAATGTCCTTCATATTAAATTTGATTAATTGAGTTTTGTTTATTTACATTTCTGTACATATAATATAAGTAGTATTTTTAATAATGTATTTTAATTTTCCTCGAATATTCTATTACGGTAGGGGAAGTTCCAGCAATTTGCCTCAAAGCACGATGCCATACACCTTACTAGTTTTAATTGAATTTCGTAAAGTCAACACATACGATACTATGTCTATTTATTGAACTTCCCGTAGAAGCAGTCGGTACATGTTTTCGCCAGAAAACCTGACCTGTTAATTTTATGGTTTCTCGACATTTCAAGACAAAAAAAATAAGTATACGTGTGTGTGTATGTGAATCAAATTTTGACTTTTTGTCTACAAAAAAAACACAGTGAATGTACAAAATACTTTTTTGTTTTTTGTTTAATAATGTGTAATATTACAACCATTTATCAAAAATAACTTATGTTTCAAATGATGTACAAAAATTGAAAAATCTGCAATACTTTCTACATAACAAGCCATACAACAAGACGGTATACCTATAAATCACTCATAAATTAATTTTATGATTTCTAATTGATTCAAGTCGATTATTTACATATACCGGATGTTCATAAAACGCTTTTAGGCAAAATGCCACATGGACCTAGTTACTCTGTAACGTCAGCCGCCAAACAAAACTGCATGATATTTGTATTAGACATATCAATCAAGTGAGTAAATAAAGAATGGTACAAAGCATTGTATTTATACAAACTGAAATCAAATATAAAAACTAAATTGCCAAAACAGTGATTGAAGTACACTCATATCATACAAAGTTTAATTTAGTTGTTAACTAACAACATAAAATACATATAAATGTAAAAGTTTGAACAACTGTAGTATATTTCCAATGCATTTTCTTAAATATTGTTAAATAACATAAAATATTACATGTTTGTTCTACTCACGTTTGAAGTGTGTTTAATTAAATAAAAAGTAAAAACTTTTGTTTAGAAAAACGGTACTATTAAATGAAATTCGTAAAACCTCTTCCATTAAAACTTACACACGTTGACAGCTCGAACAACTGAACAGAACTGATTTCAACAGCAAAGTCACCTGTTTTATAGGTGGCGCAAAGTTATCAAAACTAAACAATTTTTGGGTGCGTTTACCTTAAAGCATGGTTTACAACAAGAAGTTTTTTAAACCAAAAATGTGTGAGTTAAATAAAGTTTAACCCATTAAAATACAATTACTTTGGCATTTCTGATAATCAATTGTATGTACTTAGCAACTTGATCTGATTGAAAAACAATTATGAAACAACAAATAATTAACACTGGAAAAAGTAGTTACCATAAAAATACTGCACTATATCACATGTCTAACTTCCCGTAGGATAAGTTATTGTAATCGTCCAAAAATCGAAATTGAAAATTATGGCATACCTCAGAAAAAATGTATGTGTGTGTATGTATGTATAGATACAATTATTCGGTCACGTTTTCGGGCGCACGGATCAACCGATTTAAATGGTTCAAGAAACATTCGATTCCTATTGATAGGGAGATGTGCTGATTAGTTTTTGGCAAAGGCAGGTCCAGCAGTTACGGAGATAAAAAGCAAAGAGTGCAGAAAATAGAAATCGAGTTTTTGAGAGAACGGAGCATTAGATTTGAATGATCTAAAAAACATTCAATTAGTGATGATTGGGAAAAGAGGTTATTAGTTTTTGGCAAAGACAGGCCCAGCCATTTCAAAGATACAGAGCTAAATGTGCAGATAATGGCAGTTTTTGAGGAAACTAGGCGTCCGATTTAAATGATTCAAAAAACTTTCTACTTGTTTTAACAAAATGATTAGTTTTGGAAAAAAAATTAGTTTCAAAATATTTTTTTCAATTTTTTCTCAGGAAAAAATTTTTTTTGTCGAAAATAATTCAGCTTTTATTTTTAATTCTGACTAAAGTTTTAATATACTTTAAACAAATAATTTGAACTTTGCAATTCAGTTTATATGAATCTTATAAATAGACAATAACAATATTTATAATAATCTATCTGAAAACATTCAATATTCCTCGAACATTACGGAAAGTTCCAGCAATTTGCCTTAAGGCACGATGCCATACACCCGACTAGTTTAGATAATTTTTAAGAAGCAATCGGAATTTAATAATCCTATAAGCTGTTGCGCTAATTTGACCTAACACTAGTCTGTTTAAAAGATGGCAACCCAAACAGTTGCCACATCTCTGTGAAATATTGATATTACAATTTCTGTAATAGGGCGAATGTTTTTATTGGTGCAACAATGCCGGATGAGAGCTATTTTCATTTGTAAACATATTGCAATGTATTGCTATATTTTCAAATAAAAATCCTCGTCATTGCTGCTCGCGATTGGCAAAATGCTGTTCGAAGTGAATTTGAACCCCGGTCCTCTGATTCAGATCCAATCATTCTAGCCGCTTACCTACCAGCGAGTTTTCTTAATCGCATAAAGTTTTGATGCTGGATTTTGGTAATTGTCAAGGAGAGATTATTTTATACAGTTTTTTGTTTTTTTATAAAAACTATTTCTTTTATAGAATTTACCTGTACGCTCTTGACGTAACTTGATGACGTCGCTGCGGATGATGCCATTAGATCCGATGACGTAGCGCTGCTAAACACGATCCTCGGCTTCTAGAATCATCACTTCTGAAATTATAATCAGAACATTAATATATATATATACATACATATATATATATATATATATATATATATAAATCAGAAACAATTAATTAAATCAATTAACAGATCAAATGTCAACTTCCCGCAGGTGAGTTATAGTAATCGCAAAATATCGAAAATATAAATGTTTGCATATCTTTACATTTTCGAAATTTCTGACCATTGGCGTATCACGATATGTTGATCGCGGATCAACAGATTTGTATTATTCATAAAACATTCGATTCGTCATGACATTCGATAAGACGAAGAAGAAAGTGCAAAAACAACCAGTTTTGGCAAAGGCAGGTCCAGCAGTTACAGAGATGAAGAGCAAAGAGTGCAGAAAACAGAAATCAAGTTTTTGAGAGAACTAAGTATCTGATTTGAATGATCTAAAAAACATTCGATTTGTAATGATTGGGAGAAGTGGTTATTAGTTTTTAGCAAAGGTAGGCCCAGCCATTTCAAAGATACAGAGCTAAATGTTAAAAAATGGCAGTTTTTAAGCGTCCGATTTAAATGATTCAAAGAACTTTCTGCTTGTTTTAACAAAATAATTGTTTTTGGAAAAAAAAATTGTTTTAAAATATTTTTCTTTAAAAAAATTTTTTTCAATATCAAAAAATTAAATCGAATTTTATTTTTGTATATCGAAAATAAATCAGATTTTATTTTTAATTCTTACTAAAGTTCTAATATACTTTAAACAAATAATTTCAACTTTGCAATTCAGTTTATATAATTCTTATAAATATTAGACAATGTTACAATATTTATAATAATCTGTTTGAAAACATTCAGTATTCCTCGAACATTTTATCACGGTACGGGAAGTTCCAGCAATTTGCCTTAAGTCACCATGCTATACATCCCACTAGTTTGTAATTAAAGTTAGATTCATTTAATTAAAGTGTTGTATATAAATCTCAAATATGTAACTAAATAGTTAATAATTACAATTAATCAATATTAATTTGTGAAATAGGAATTTGTCTTGAGGTAATTGTTAGGCACCAGTAATGATAATTGCAGGTACTTTACTTAACGAGCATGTATAATAATTAGTAACTTGTATAATGTTTGTAAACAAAATGTTCGACGAGCATCGAATTTTCTTCAATTTTACCTTACGAATTATTCTCATGGGAAGTGGGAAGAAGCTGCATTTGAAATAAGTGATATATATATATATATATATATATATATTTATATATTGTGATGTTTTGCAGAAAAATATTTATTTACCGGATCGCTGTCGCTGAGGCACCACTCTGACGTCACCGCTCCTAGCAATTGCATCGCCGCATCTGACATCATTTGAATGTGATGATGTGAAATTATGCCTTGAAGTGCATGATGACCTAGATATTTGTATCAAAATGCATATATACATATTGCAAATATAAAATAGATCTCTATTATAAAACAACAATTATGTTTACGTACAACAATAACTAAAAAATATTTCACTATTTAATTACTTAAAATTATATAAATCTTTATAAATGCACACAAGGAACCTGTCATGTTGATTGAGATCTAAGTGCTCTGCGTTAAATTATCTGAAATGTAGTTCACAGAATGTGCACTAATTGTGATTTAATAGCATAAAGTTTCAAGTAGAAACATGCAGTTATTATTCAAGCTACAAATGTAAATCTTAACTTTGATAATATAATCACGCCAAGTACATGTTGGAACTTTCATTGGAATTATTAACAATCATTAACCACAAATATTCATTCACTGAATTTCAATCGTTTAAATAATTGAGAAAACCTCTGTAATTCCATTACAAAAAGCTTGTAATTAAATCGCATTACATCCCTTAGTCACTAAGGCTTAGTGGTATCTTTGTATAAATTGCTCAAGTGTTTGTGATGACAAATCCTCGACACTTTGATAAAAAGAGTAATGGAATTTCATTCATTTTAGAGCCATTTGTACTCGTGAAGATCGCGTGAGAAATAAAAAATACAAAACTTCCTGCTTTAAAAATTTAATTTAGAATAAATGAATGAATTTTAAATTGCAAGAATTTTCATCTTCCGTAGATTTATTTTAAATGAAATGATCTGAATCAATAACTACTTCAACAGGGTACTAAAAACATTTTATATATAACAAGTCTGTCTTGAAACTCAAATACTTTAATTAATAACGAGATTCAATTATAGAGAAAGAAATGGTAAAGCGTCGAGTTATCTAATGAGTTTTGTGAAGTTACTCGTTAAGACAACTATTTTTCTTGAAGCTAATTGGTATATAACTAACATTATTGATTTTTAAAACATATAATAATGTGGATTTTAAGTTGTACATAATATTTAATAAAAGTAATTTGAATACAGATTTTTCTGTTAGCTGTTCAATCTGAACATTATACGCTTATTTCGACTTATTAAAGCATTATTTTTTGACTTATGAGTAAAACTTCTACAACATCAAACCACAGTCAAAATGTAAAGAATGGAGTTTCTGCAATAACTGCTAATGTATTCATATTTATAAGTAATTTAATTTTGTAAAATACCTCGGACGCCTAATTGTTCATAAATAATTTCATAAGGACTAAATATTCCAGCAGAATAGAACCATAAAAAATTATTAAAATAGATCTATCAACTCCTACATTATTTATTAAAAAAATTCTCCTAATACTCTTTTTAAATAAGCGCAACTGAAGAAAAAGCTACTCTAAATTTTTTATATCCCTTTGAAAAATACAGATAAATGATACAAATTTACCCTAGTATTGAAATTTTTATTATAGCTTTATTTTGTTTAAAAAAAAATTAATAACCTGTAAGTACGTAAGTCATTCAATTATTTTGAAAGTAATTCATTATGCCTCCAATTATGGTTCTAAATCTCTTCATGCTATCATGGTTAAAATAAATATCTTTAATTTAAATTTGATGAATATGGCCAAGAAACATTTCATGGTCTGGTAAGGTTGTCACACAAATATCAATACAGAAATTTTTAGAGCAAATATGTTCAAAATCTTATATATAAATATGAATCGCAAAATGTGTTGGTAAGCGCATAACTCAACAACGCCTGGACCAATTTGGCCAATTCTTTTTCTAAAATGTTCGTTGAAGTCCAAGGATGGTTCTTACGGCGAGAAAAAGTCGAATAATTTCCGCGAAAACCTTTAAAACAGCCCTTTTTTCACATACAAACGTTTTTTAACTAAAATGTGGAATCAATTTGAGCTTTAATTTGCTTATAATGAGTAAATAAATAAGGTGAATTAGAGAATTTATAAAGGTAAACTGATGGACAGGTAAATTTGAGGATATGTGAAATGGTAGAGAGGAGAACTGGTAGATGGACGAATATGTAGACAAATAAACAGGTTGACAGGTAAATTGGTAGACAGGTAAATTGATACGCAGGTGCATTGGTAGACAAGTACATCGGTGGAAAGGTAATTTGTTGGATAGCTGGTGGTCAGGTAAATTGGAGGATATGTAAAATGGTAGACAGGACAACTGGTAGATAGACAAATAAGACGGATAAATAGGTTGACAGGTAAATTGGTAGTCATGTGAATCGGGTTTATAGGTAAATTAGTTGACAGGTAAATTGATAAGCTGGTAAAATGGTAGATATATTACCAAGTTGATAGATAAATTCGTAGACAAATTGTTGAATAAATAAATTGTTGAACAGATAATAGGAACGATAAACTAAATGGAACAAATACACACCTCTGTTCAACTTTTCAATTTCACGGCAAAGCGTGAACGGGTACAGCTAGTAGTAATATAAATAAATTTACAATTTCAAAGTTTACCTGCATTGTGATCCACAAGGAAACAGTCTTAAGAAAGCTTCTCTGAACCGTCTGTTCATAAAACAGTAGGTAATAGGGTTGCAGCAAGCACTGACGTATGCCAAAAGTTGAACCAATGCCACACCAGTAGGGCCCACATAGTCGTATAATATTTTAGGCCAAAATAAGTACACCTATATAAAAAATCATTTTGCATCAATTTTTTTCCACTTCTTAATTTTAATTTTAAATCACTTCTCGTTTATTACGATAATATTTATGTATCGACTCACATCCAATATTTATTGCAATAAAAATATCGGAAGAAAGAAAAATACAGGAGTTAAAATAACAGCCACGTGGAATAAATACATTTTATATAAATGTCTATAAAATTTGTTATAATACAACTGGAACACACAATTTATATTTAGAAATAATTTTCTATTAAGACAAAGATGAATATTTAAAACAGAAGATAAATATACCTGAAACAAGTTGAAGAAATTTAATATGAGAAATATATATTAAACACACTACCTTGGGTTGTTGAAATATATGACGGTAGATTTATTTCAATCATCCTGAATAAAAAAATTATATATACTTGCGATAAATGATATTCATCTTTCCAATTTATTTGAAATTATAAAGTTCTATACAAAATATGTTATATATATATATATATATATATATACATATATATATATATATGTACTCTATTATTCACTCAGAATACATTTGTTATATATAAATATATATATATATATATATATATATATTATATATATATATATATATATATGTATGTATATATATATATATATATATATATATATATATATATATATATATATGCCATTACAAGTCGCTCGATATACTATATAATATATAGTATATATCGAGTATATCAAGCGACTTGTAATGGATAACACATAATGCTAATTTAGGTTTTCATATTTTAAATTTCAAATTATAACACACTGATGATGAGACAAACCTAGTCTCGAAACGTTTGTGAAAATTATTATTTAATATTTTAGTGCAAAAAAGAGTGTTGTTTGTTCATATTTCCAAATTAATATATATATATATATATATATATATATATATATATATATATATATATATACGAGGTGTGTTCAAAAAGTACCCGGAATTTTTAAATTTCGCGGGTCTGGAGTGTCTGATTGTCAAAATTTTTTTTATTGTGTTGGTATACATGCCCCTAAAGTATGATGAAATTTTCAGCTATATTCACTGTTACTTTGTCTGTGGTAGTCGCTAAGGTTCGACGTGTTTTTCTGAGCTCGGCGATTTTTACAATGGAAGAATTGAAAAGTCAAAGAATTTGTATTAAATTTTGCGTAAAAAATGAAATAAAGTGTAACAAAGTGTGTGAAATGTTACAAAAAGCCTATGGTGAGTCTGCTATGAAAAAAACAAGTGTTTACGAGTGGTATAAGCGTTTCCAAGATGGCCGCGAAGACGTTGAAGATGACGAACGCTCCGGTCGACCCAGCACGTCAACAAACGATGAAAATGTGAAAGAAGTGGAAAAAATGTTATGAATGATCGCCGAATCACAATTAGAGAAGTTGCTGATGAAGTTGGCATATCAATTGGCTCATGTCATAACATTTTTTCAAATGTTTTGGGCATGAAACGAGTGGCAGCAAAATTCATTCCAAAACTGCTAAATTTTGACCAAAAAAGCAATCGCATGAACATCGCTCAAGAGCTGTTAAATGACGTCAACAACGATCCAAGTTTGCTTGAAAGGGTCATAACTGGTGATGAAACATGGGTGTACGGTTATGATGTCGAAACCAAAGCCCAATCGTCCCAATGGAAGAGCCCAGGTGAGCCAAGACCGAAAAAAGCACGTCAAGTTCGATCGAATGTCAAGGTTTGCTTACTGTTTTCTTTCGATTATAACGGCATAGTGCATCAAGAGTTCTTACCACAAGGTCGTACGGTTAATAAGGAGTATTACCTTGAAGTGATGCGACGTTTGCGTGAAGCAATCCGAAAAAAACGCTCCGATTTATGGAAAAAACATTCATGGCTGTTGCACCACGATAACGCACCTGCTCACTCGTCGTTGCTTGTTCGTAATTTTTGGCCAAAAACAATACCGTAGTCATGCCCCAACCTCCATATTCACCAGATATGGCTCCGTGTGACTTTTTCCTATTCCCAAAGTTGAAGAGACCCATGAAAGGACGGCGGTTTTCCTCGATTGAAGAAATAAAGGCCGAATCGCTGAGAGTGCTCAAGGACATATCAAAAAGTGAATATCAAGGGTGCTTCGAAAATTGGAAAAAACGCTGGCATAATATTATATCTGGGGGGGACTACTTTGAAGGGGACCACATTAATGTAGACGAATAAATAAATATTTTTTTGAAAAAACGAAAATTCCGGGTACTTTTTGAACAGACCTCGTATATTTACAAAAAGCTCGATTGATTTCTAATTTATAGATTAACTGATTAATATTTCACATGTTGATAATGAAATAATAGAATAATATAAAATTTGAATAAAATTATTAGTTGGTCATTAAACGCTTTTATGTATATAACTGAAGACTTTAAAAAATATATAGATGAATTGATTATTAATTAATATTTTTGGTTATTTAATACAAAATATGCTAAAATATTTAAATAAAATTATTCGTTAATCAATTAATATTTCTATATGAAATTATAAATCAAAATAAATGTTGACTTACTGTGTTCAGAACATGAAGTGGAGCCCAGCAGATGAAAAACTCTACAATTATCACAAACAGCATTCGAATTACCTATTGAAAAAAAAAGAAAAGAAATATCGTGAAATTGATTTTGAGACAAAATTTCATTAATTATTAACTTCCCGAAGGAGAAGTTTATGTTTTCATCGAAAAATCCGACTAATTTGCTAATTTTATGTTTTCTCAACGTTTCAAGCCATTCTGAATCGTGTGTGTGTGAACAGATTATTTGCCGTAAATCTTCGTTTTCTCCCAAACGGCTGGACCGATTTCCATAATTTAAAAGCCATTCGTATATCTTGATGAAGACTAGCGTTTCTTTGTAAATCGCAGAATAGTGAAAACTTTTTCGTTTCCTTTTTAGCCCGCAATTCTGAATCGATTTGTAAATTTAAAAACCGTTCGAAAGATATTGGTTGGGAATTGTGCTGATTAGTTTTTGGTAAAGATCGGCTGGGCCGTTTTCTTGTAAAAAAAAATCGACGATTTTTATGATTATTTTTACGGTAGATACCATAGTCGTTTAAATCCTACTAAAATATTGCGGCCCAATGACAAGTCATTTAATTTAATCGAATTTCTAATTTTAAAAATCCTTCAAGGTCTTTTTCTCAAAAACGCCTTAACCGATTTCAGAAATTTAAAAGCCATTTGAGGTATCTCAATAAGGACTATCGTTTGTCAGTTTTGTGAGACGATTTGCCGAGCCGTTACTTTGTAATTTGAAAAAAGTGTTGAACTTTTCATCCACATTTAAGCTCATACTACAGAATCGATTTTAAAAACTCAAAACTGTTCAAAAGATATTAGTTAGGAAGGATACTGATTAATTTTATGTGAACATCTACCGAGCCGTTTTTCTGCAATTAACTGTTGAAAAAAAAATTTAAGCCAATTTTAATGGAACTTTTATTGGCCATATATATTATGGTCTTATAGAACTTACTGAAATATTACGGCCTTACGACAAGTAGTTTAATTTTGAAAATTTATCAAAGTTTGAGAAAATGAGTAGTTTTTTGACGTTTGTTAAAATTAAAAATAAATGATTTGGTTGGTACAACGATAAATTACTTGGTCTTGAACATAGTAAACCATTAAAGTCCTACGGAAAATGGTTCAATTTCAAAAATGGTTCAAAATTTATAGATTTTTGAAAATTTGCTTTTTGAAAATACTCCGAGTTAACGTGTTCGTTCGTTCATTTTCAATGATGTGTAATAAATCCACTCGGAATACTTATAATCACTCATAAATTAATTTATTTTTTATTTATTAAGTCGATTGTTTACACTTTTCGGAAAGTTCATGTAACTTGCCTCAAGGCAAAATACCAATACCAACTAGTATTTTATTTAATTCATACTGACTAAACCAGTCATATAGATAATTTATCATAATTCACATTTAGAATTTCGAAATAGCTTTAAACATTAACATCGATCCTAATTACCAGGAAGGTCCTACAGCAACTATGTAATACTTGTACAAAATAATTGTGTATATATATGCCTATATATATATATATATATATATATATATATATATATATTATATATATATATATATATATATATATATATATATTATTATTTGCCACCAACCACGAATACTGTCAACATTTCAACTCTTGTTTACTGAATAAGTTATAAGATCAGTTCATCAATATTGAGAAGGATTAAGTCTACATTGCAACCAACGAGATTATTGCAAAGATTGTGGTAGTTGTTGTATTCAATATTTCTTGATTCGTGTCCTCGAATACTGCAAATATATTCAGAATATAATCTAATTTATTTTACGTACTGACCTTTTTCTTGGCCTCAATGCTTTTGCACATGTAATTAGATCTAATTGCCTGCCGGGTAAATGTGTAGTGTGATGATACTTCATGGGGCATCATGGGTTCAGATAATGCCTCTCGTCCTCTTCTTGAATGACGATGAGATTTCTTTTCTGGTATTCTCACCTAATGACAAAAAAACAGTGTTCATAAAATATAATAAAAAAACAGTTAAGTTTCTTGTAGCTTGATATTTTATAGTTGCTTTCGCTACTCCTGAAGTCTTGATGCGCAATTGGAAATATTCAGAAATGCATGTGAGTTTGTGAAAAAAATATTTATTTTATACTTTTATCATTTATTTAAAAACTTTTTGTTAATTTTATTTTTTATTTGGAGAAACGTGTTAAAACTCTAATAATTCAATAAGTAATCTAAAAGTGTTATATATAATTATTTATATAAATACTTTTATCGGTTTTCCTCATGCATTACAATTTTAATAATTTGTCTACATTTCTAATGTAAATAAGCTAATGTTTTTTTACTTTATAATAGTTTAAATAAATGTAGTATTGAAATTAGTGGGGCGCATGGCAACATGCCTTAAGGCAAATTGCTGGAACTTCCCGTACCAAAATTTTTAAAACTTAAAAACGATTAACATTTTTGAAAAAAAAAATTACTTCGAAAAACTTAGATTTTTGAGAAACTATAATTTTGATAAGAAATTACCTTTTTTGAAAAAAAAAATTTATTGAAAAAAAAAGTTTTCTTTATTTTGACATATTTTGGAAATTCTGAACTTTTTTTCGCCGTCTAATGGATGAACGTTGGTACGGAACCCATAGGAATGTAATCAAAATTTATACTTATTGTTAAAATATCTATAAAATTTCTGATAATTTGATGTGCATATGTCTAATGATCATTTTTGACCGCCAAATGGTATTTTTTTTACTTTTTTCATTAGATCTTCGAAACCGCTAGACTTGCCTTAATGAAAATTTTATCAATTCTTCATATTGTCAATGCAAGTAAAATGTTTTCTGAATTATTAAAAAACTATTCGATGCTCCGTTCTCCTAAAAGCTGAGTTACGAATTTTGGCACTTTTTGCCCCGTATCTTTGGAACGGCTAGGCCTACTTCCAACAAAGACTAATCCGCACGTCTCCTTATCAATACGAATCGAATGTTTTTTGAATTATGAAAATCGGTTGATCGGTATTCCTGAAATCTTCGACGAAAATTTGTATCCGCACACACGCATACACACATACATTCTTTTTTTTTCGAAGGTATGCCAAAATACTCAGAAACTTTTGAAACGTGAAGATATATAAAAACTTTCATTTTCGATTTTTTTGCGATTACTATAACTTGCCCTACGGTAAGTTAATAAATATATTCTGAAGAGTTGTATGAACTTTTCAATTGGTGTAATTAATTAAGTTACCAAACATAAAACTAGAAATATCGATATTTAGCAATTTAGATCAAATTTCCAATTGTTTATTTTAAAAATAAAGTTTTCGCTGTCACTAAAAACTAACCAATTCAATTTCTATTTGTTTTCTTTCGAAAAAACTAATTATATCTGTAATTATGGTAATTATAAATGCAACAAAAAACCGTTATATGTCCTAAAAGCGCGCCTAATTACTTCAAACATAAATGAATTTTTATAATTTAATCACTTGCAGGACTATATTGATTATAGACTATCGATTGCCGAGTTTCATTGAAAACTCCAAATATGTTTTTTAATATTTAATTACGAAGTAACGTGTTGGCTGATGTTTGCCAAACAATAATGAACACGATCCTTATCTGATATTTTGGTAGCGGTTTTACATTTGTAAAAATATGCACAAAAACTTTAGCACAAAATTAATAATTGAAAACCAATGGAGGCCTTATCAAATTTCATCGAATGGCTTTTAAATTTTTGAAATCAGTGCAGTCGTTTATGAAAATTAAATTTAGGCTCACATACATACACACTTATATTTATGCCAAATGTAGTGTTTAATTATTTAGAATGATTTAAAACATCGAGGAAAAGAAATTTAGCAAATCCGATTTTTAGCAAAAACATAAGGTTCTAGTTTAGGCGGTTCAAAAGTAGATGCAATAAATATATTAAAAGTGTGAAAAAGCTATATGAAAGTGTGAAAAAATTCACGCCATGCCAAACTATATATTGATCGACTCATGGATGTAATTAGAACCTTTTTTATTTCGCTAATTACACTGACATGTATTTTTTTTAAGAATGGTCAAAACTATTCTTTTTTGTCGCATGAATAGAATACACTTCGTGCTATTTTTATATTACATATAAATGCACAGATGTAAATTAAATAATAAATAAGTAAAATACCCAATTGGTACTTATGTACCAATCCAACATTATATAGTAGGGTAGAGCGGGGCTAGTTGAGCATAGGGGCAAGTTGAGCAATCGAAATATCTCGAAAACTATTCACCGTCCGTTTAGGCGTTATATGGCGGAAAGATAGAGGTTTGGGAAAAATAAACATTCCGCGATCGCTAGTGGCCGCTGGACAAATGAGTGAGGCTCACGGGCGTTTTGTTTCTTTTGAGACCAAAAAGTAAAAACGTAATTTATCACGAGTTTTCGTCTGGTTTAGTCAAATGTTATTTATTTTTAATCAGGTAAATGTTATTCTTCAATATAATTATAGTACTTTTAATGTGCACAGAGATTCTGGCTATAATTCTCACGGTTTTTTTATAAACTCACTTTTATTTGAAATTCCCAGTTGGGGTTAGTTGAGCATAGTTGCTAAACTTGTTCTGTCACTAAGACAATTATCATTAACTTCCAGAAATTGATCATTATTTTTAAGATTTAAGCTAAGTCTATGAGTAATAAATTAAAGAAATAATGATTTTAAACAAAAATACTGAATATAATGGTAAAATAATTCCTAAGCTACGATATTGTTCTGTTGACTCTACTTTTCGTTAATTATTCAAAACAAATTACTATAAGTTTTGTTTTCTCTGTCAATAAAGACTATAAATATAGAACTGGTTATTAAAAACTTATTTTATTTCATTACTAATCGACATTGAACCTATGATTTTATATACTTTTTAGTGCTCAACTTGCCTCACCTATGGGGTACATTGAGCATACTTGACTTTTTGCATCTAAACAGCTGTAGCTTTTAAATTTTACTTATTACCAAAAAGTAGTATTAACACTTTTGTTAAGCGATAAACAACAAATCCATTAAGCCATATAGCAATTTATTGAGACTTTTCATTGAGGTGCTACATCCGTTTAAGTAAAAATTTGCTCAACTAGCCCCGCCCTACCCTATACATTTATATATTAAAATATATTTTTTAAAAATTGAAAAAAGTCTTAGCTTCAATGTATGTATTAGTATTACTCGTATATTTTCACGTTAAGGAATGTAACTTAAACGCTTGTGATTTTGATAGAGATCTATCATATCTAAAACAAATGTATGTA